AGAGAGAGAGAGAGAGAGAGAGAGAGAGAGAGAGAGAGAGAGAGAGCAAGAGCCAACCTGAGCAACTTTCGAGCGAAGTACTTTCGAGAGGTACACAGCAGTCTTTTCAAACATGACACGGCATGGCGCCGACACCCGTACGTTGTGTGCACACGTTCGCAACCCTGCTACAATACCGCCGCTACATTCGTCGGTCTGAGGCTGCAAATCCACTGGCTGTTCCGGATGGTGTCCTCGTACTCCCTGTGCAAAGTGCAAGTGCAAGGCGCGTGTGCTTGCACTTTGCGGCAGCTGTAACACTCTGCGCGGTCATCGCAAAAAAACTCTGTCTACATTGGAATGCAAGCATTTCATTGCTCGCAGGCAAGCCAGACAAACCTTCAGGGCGTCGATCTCCTGCCGAACGTCCGAGGTTGCCGACGGGCTACTTGACGACGGCGTGCCTGGTGGTGTTTCTGCCTGTGGTGTTGGGGTTAGTTGTCGTTCAGGGAGACAAAAAAAAAACGTTACTACTGCTTTTGATAAACGAGGCGAGCACGAGGTAAAAATATATTTGGTAAAACGGTTGTGTCCAGGTTCTGCCCTACAGGCATGTTTTCTTCTTTGCTGCATGTGTGGCGTTAGACGTTCACAAGCGGGCTATTTCTTCCGTAGTGTAACAGACGGGAGTCAGTCACGAGCAACAGTGGATGCCGAACGCCAAACGACCTCAGCGACGGGCACTCACTGGACTGCTGGTCTAATGTTGTGCCGGTCGCTAAATGCCGGTACAAGTACAACGTATGCACATTCTGACGTCCGTTCTGGATCATGATAGACTATGCATACGGCACTCCACCTCGCCTGCTGTTGCACGCCTGCTGCTGATGTTGCCGATGCAACAGCGCCCGGCGCCGCCATTGAGCTCTTTTTTTCGCCGTTGGCCGGTTTCTTTGACGAAGAAGCAGCGGACAAACCGCCCAGCTTGCGCGTCACCGCCTCCTTCGCCATGCCCCTCAGGTCTTGCGCCGTGGGCGCGGCGCCGCTGTTGATGCGGATCTTTTCGGCTGTCTCCGCCGCCGTCCTCACCCCCGTCTCGACGTCCGCCAGCTTGGGCACGCGGCGGCCGATGTTCTTCTGGCACCACTGGAGTATCGTGATGCGGCCCTCTGGGATCGGGGGCGGCGGCGGGCGCACCTTGCGCGGCGTCGCCGCCGCCTGCGGTGTAGGCTTGACCATCCCAAAATAACGTGGATGATCCTGCTGCTGCTGCTGTTGCTGCTGTTGGGGCGGCGAGGAGTCGGCAGCAGCGTTGGCGGGAGGTGTCATGCTCACCGGACCGGCAACAAGCAGGACCGAGCACACCAGGACGACTCCCATCGCCAGCGTCCGAGCGCTGCCTAAGAACGAGGCTGCCGTTGTCGTCGTCGTCGTCGTCGTCGTCTGCTGCCTTTCAGCAGCGCCGGTTAGTTGAATAACAAGACCCGCCGCATCTTCCTCCTCCTTCCCCGCTTCGACGGTTGCTGGATTATTATTATTTCGCCATCCACCCGCGGGACCATCATCTAGCGCAACGGAGGGCGCTACTTTGCCTAGCAGAGCATCGTCATCACGGGTGCGACCCTCCTCCTCCTCCTCCTCTGCTTCTGCTGCTGCTGCTGCCCCGCTCCGGCGGCAGCGCAGCGGAGCCTTGCTGCCGTAGCGAGGCACGCCTGCTGCTGCAACATGTGCGCCGGAGGCGTCGCCATGATTATCGTCGTGAACGAAACCCCTGCTGCTCCTGCAACGCTCTGCGCCCGCGAGGGTGCCGGAGGGGCGCAAGAACGGTTTCACGGGCGCTAGCCCTTGCGCGGCGGCCACACATCCCGTGCAGAACACGAGCCTACCGAGCATCGGAGCACATCAACGTCGGCGTTGTTGTATGTTGGGGCTGGCTCTACTCTATATGTCGTACCTACAGGTCTCGAGATGGGAGGTCGATTTGGCGTCGTCAGCAGCGGGGAGTTCGGCACTCGTTCGGGAAGGATTGTGGTTCTTGAGAGAGAAACCCGAAGGGGTCCGGCGAGTAGAGCCAAAGAGGGAGAGCGGGCACCAAACCGCCAGTGTCAGCAACACACACAGCAGCAGCATGTGGTCTACGAACGCGGCGAGGCCTGTGAGAAGAGGCGCCGGCTTGCATCGCGTCGGGCGGCTGCTTCCGGCCATCGTGTGCCGGTCGTTCTTCCCAGACCTGAGGTGGGCCGTCTGCTATGCAGCACAGCAGCAGCAGCGGCGTAATTTTGCGACGTATTGACGTATGTCATGTGTGCGTTTGTTTCTTGTGCGCAGGAACAGCCACTTTCTGCTGCCTGCAACACGTGCGACCACGAAAGCCGATGTCCGCGGCAAGCTCTGACCGCTGCTTCTGCGCCTGCTTGTGTGTATATGCATGCAGCAAGGTCCAGAGCGACGAAAACACAGCAGTTCAACATTTTGTGTCACCTGTGTTATCCAACTCCATGTGCAACACTGCTGTCTTCGTCGTGTCGGTCTTTAGGATGTAGAACCAACCCCAATGCGAAAATAACCTTACACTGCTGTCGCGTTTGCGTGTGATGCAAGTTTGTGACGCCTAGGTGATTGCTCCGGCCCTTCATTGTCTTGGGCACCATGAGCGAGTGCAGTACACCCCGCGTGAAATTCGAAGTGCAACCAAACACGATCATCTGCTGTTGGCCCCCTTGGACATCCATCGACTTGAAGGCGTGCAGTACACAGCAATGCACCCAATGATGTGCACTCCAACGTGATTGCCATCTGCCGTTGCCCCCTTTCGATACCTCTCCACTCAATGCCAACAATGTCGACTTCGTCAATTGGACCCCCTTCGACAACCCTCGACTCAATCGTCAACGTCGACTTCGCCAATCGCCACCAGAATATTTCTTGCGCAAGAATGAAAGCGGAGTGATGATAAACAGCCAGTAACCCTTTGACACACCACATGCCGCCAGAGCAGCACATCTAATGACGTGCACCCAACATGGTCACCCTCTGTTTCCCCCCCCCTCCATACCCCTAATACATTTCCATAGAAAAAAGCGGGGTGATGCCGAACGGTATCCTTCGAACTCACAGCACACAGCACGACAGTAGTACATCCAATGATGTGCACCCTACATGATTGCCATGTGTTTTTTTTTTCTTAATATGACACAACGAGTCCATCTCTATCATAGATTAGAGTCAGAGGCAGATTAACAATGGAATCATAGCGTCAGAAAAAACTACCTGTATGTCTACGATTTGCCAGACAGTTTTTGTTTTTTCCCTCTCCCCTACTTTTTATGCCCAACATCAGGCGGAGTGATGCCGAACGGTAACCGGCGAACACACCACACACAGCACTATACCCAATGAAGTGCACCCAACATGATAACCATCTGTTTTTTCCCCGCTTGGTTCCCCTATTATTTTCACAATAAGCGGAGTGATGACGAACGGTACCCGGCGAACACACAACACACTACACTCAATGATGTGCACCCAGCATGATTTCCATCTGTTGTTTCCCCCCTCGGTGCCCCTATTTCCCCCCCCCCCCCCCCCCNCCCCCCCCCCCAAAAGCGGAGTGATTACGAACGGTAACCGGCGAACACACCGCGAGCGGCGGGTGGTGCCCTACCTCCCCGAACAGTTCTACGGGGTCGTCGCGGACGTGGACAACTACAAGAACTTCGTTCCGTTCTGCGTGGACTCTCGTGTGGTCAAGGTCATCGACGAAAATACGATGGAGGCAGAGATGAGTGTAGGTTTCAAGGTATGTACAACGTAGAGAGAGAGGATGGTAGAAGCAAGCGCCTTTGGGAGCCGAAAAAATAATATTTTTTGGTTTGATTTCGGCCGCTAAAATGGTTGCGAATCGATCGATCTGCAGCAGCAACATGCTTCCAAGAAGTTGCGCGAGGTGTCGGGAATAACTTAATGTCCTTACTTGGTGTACCTAGCGGTCGATATGATTCACGGAGCCTCCGGGCGTTGGTATAGCGTGATGTGATAATCGGGGAGATGCGGAGTCCCCTGTGGCTTGGGCTCCCTGCCTCACCTCTGCATGGGCTCTGCGCATCTCAATAACCCAATGACGCTCTGATTATTAATAGTGGAAGCACGTCTTGATAGTGTAAGTCTCCACACGGATCGGCTGCCATGGCGTTACTAGCGTCTGGTCACCCGCCGACCATCCAAACAGTACTCACGAGAAGAACTCGAGGGAGTCGGGGCAGGATCCCGCCGCATATCGTTAGATGTCCGCCCCTTATTAGCAGCCCCCCCCTTCCAGGCCCTTGCCGTTCGACCCCCCCCC